GACGGTCTTTCTCTTGTCAGGGACAACAGCCCATGTGCTTTTTGGGGAAGAAATAAAAAAAGCTCAAAGCACCTGCGCGAGCAGCATCACTGCTCCCTCCAGAGCAAGCTCTCTGCTCATGTGGCTGTAACGCATAGGTGGAAGCTCGCTCGCGCAGCCGCTGGCATGGGGTAGGTGGTGGCTGTTGCCCAGTGGTGTGCAAACCCATACACCCAGCAGAGCCTCTCCCGGCGGGGGGGGGCACTTTGCTCCTGGCGAGCGCAGCATGAAACAGCCCTACTTAGAGGGGGACCAGTGTATTCTGGCTTGCAGCCCTGGTACCAGTTTTAGTGAGGAGGAGAGCCCTCGTGAATTCTTTTCTCCAGCTGAAATACTTGTGGGCAGCTGCCTGAACCGTCTCTGACCTTCCCTGGAATAATACCTGAATTACCTTGCAGTTTTTGCATCTTGCTGATGCTGGACTTGCTGGAATCCTGCACTTAACAGTTCCTCTTGAATTTTGCCCTGTGCGTGCATGTGCAGTGTGTCAGGAGATCCGATGTCTGTAGCGTTTCACGAGTCCAAGTTCCTCTCTGTGCTGGTGTAGAGTCCTGTCTACTACGGCCCTTCCCAAACTCCCCCAGAAAGGACCAATCTCTCTGAATTTTTCTGTTGCCTTCGAGGTGGTAGGTTTTCCAGGCCAAAAAAAAAAATAATAATCCCACAATGAGTTTTAAGGTGTGATTTGCTGATCAGACTTTTTCTGGGAATGATGCTACTTTGGTGTACATAGCTGTAAAGCAGCTTCGCATAGATGGGGTGTGTGAGTCATTGCTTTTAATTTAACTGTCCTTGCAGTGAAGCACCTTTAGTGTCTGGGAGGAATTGGATGATAACTGGGTGAGGGTTTTTCCTATGTGAAGAGCAGTGTTTAAAGCACTCTTTAAGTATTGGTAGGTACTGACCAACCTCCTCAGCTTGGAGTTTTTGCTGTCCCTGGTGGGCTGAGCCAGGGCTGAAAGCACTTTGGCCCTGAAATTCACGTGTTGAATGCCATCGTGTCAGCAGCGTTAAGCTGGCTGTGTGTATGCCTGTCGGCTGGCAGAAGCAGACCTGAGAGCTCCTGCCCTGCTGAGTGGCAGCCCATGTGGGGACATGGGGAGCTCCCCTCAGAACGGGGTGTGAGCTCTGTCACCTACAGCAGTACAGGACAGGGAGATGCCAGGGTGCAGGTGCAGAACTTAAATGCATTTAAGTTCTCTCATGCATTTGTCTAGGACTGTGAGCTGCTCTGTCATCTTTCAAGCATATTTCTTTTTCAGTCAGAATTGTGCTTTGAATTTGCAACTAAAGATAAAGAGCTGTGCCAGGGCTGATCTTTAGAGAGGAGCTACAACCTGTTCCTGCAGCATGGTAGAGCTGTTTCACCAGAGTTTGGCTGGGGTTTTGTTCCGCTGCTTTACTAAGAGCTAAAAAAATCTTGAAGATGCAAACTCCTGCCACCGGATTTTCTCTGCAGATGCTCATTGACCAGTCTTGAGCACTGAGCTGGGGAAAAAACCCAAAGCTGCTTTTTTTAATTTTCCTCCTGGCAGGAGTTGAAGATGCTGATCTCTGTCCTGTCACTGGATCCAGCCCCTGGCTTCCCTCCACAGGCTGTGGGGTACAGGGAGGTTTAGAAACTCCTCAGAGCAGAAGCGTTTTATCATTATCCCCCACCCTCTGCCTTCAAAGCCTTTTTCTATCAAGCCGAAGCTCGCTCTGGTGTCTCAGCAAGCTAGCGGTGGCTTGGCATAAGTTTAATCCCTGCTGAAAACCCATGAGTTTCTTAACTCTGGATTGTACCTGAAGTGTGCATGGTGATTCAATCCAAGGCGTCTGTCGTGGCGTGTGCCTGGGTGGGCCTGGCTTTCCTCATCTCCAAATGGCTGCCTGCTTAAGTTACAGAAGTGCGGAGGCTTTCCACTCAGATGCTCGCTGGATTTCTTTATTTGTGCTGCTGACACAGCTCCCTCCAGACAGCCCTTGGTGTAGCACTGACCTACCCAGTCCTAGCCAGGCGACAGCTAGGCGTGAAAACCCGCAGGCTGCCTCTGAGGGAGAGATCTGCTTTGGGGTGGAGGGGTGGAAAGGGATGAAAGACAAAGCCTCTGGAGACAGCCGGGGAAGGCTGGTGCTGCGCTGGTGGGATGCTGGGGCAGGTACCCAGCTGCCCTCCTGTGAGGAGGCAGGGCTGCGTCCCCTCGGAGTGTGTGTGTGTGAGCGGGGAAACGTGTTGGCGCTCGGCTATTCCTTAGCGGTGTTGGGGTTTTGTAGCTGATCCGACATGAAGTGCCACTGCCCATCGAAGAACAGCCGTCCTTCCTCTGCCACCAGTGTCTGTGTGGGAGGAGCAATGAGGGAGAGGGAAAGTTCTTCACACTTCCACCTATTTATTATATGCAAGGAGGGTAACTGGTTTTTAAATCACTGGCCGAAGCGCGAGTCTGCTCTGATCCTAGTTCTATTCCTGATTTTTATTCTCGCCGGCCTCCAGCCTCCGAACAACATGGCCTGAGCACCGTGTTGCACCCGGGTTGTCTTTTCCAGAACGTTCAGTACACTTCCTCCCGCTGTGCCGGATCCTGTAACCACGTGCCTCCCCGCGGGTTAGGTGTCAACTGTTGTATCCCGTTACGCACCATTGCTGAGCAGACGTGTGCTTGGTACAGATGATTAATAAATGATGCTTCAGTATGACGCGATTGTCCAGCACGCTTTTCTTGAGGGACCCCCGGTGAAATGCCACATAGCTGAGCAAGTTCTCTGTCACCCCGCGCCAGGGTGTCTGTCCCGGGTGGGGGACAAGGGCTGTGACCCAGCCACGGTGGTGTTGGTACCTTGCGCTCGGCACCTGCCGCGGCAGGGACTTGCTCGCCCCTTCCTCAGCCCCGCCAGCCTGGCTGGAGATCCCGGTGGGAAGGCTGGGCCCCGCCGCGTCCCCTCCCCGTCACGCGGGGCTGTGCCGTGGGCTTACTCATGCCGCGCGCGGGCGCTTTCCACGCCTGCTCTGGCGTAACGGTTTCCGAAGTGACCTCATGCGGAGGGAAAAATCGCCTCCCCGCTGACGCGGGCCGCTCCCCCGGGAAATACTGTGAGTCGCACAACTTCCCGCAGCTCGCCGGAGCCCGGAGGGGATGCGTGGGGTGAGGCGGGGGGGGGGGGGGGGGCGGGGTTTTTGTGGTTAGCCCCC